GAGTTAGCCTGGTGTGGCTCTGATTGTACTTGATGCCCTTGATGATTGTCCTAGTATTTCTCTGATTGTCGTTGATCTCCAACGTGCCATGTCTCCATATGGCGAGAATGACCGACGTGGTATTTTCCTGATTGTCGATCATCTCCAAGATAGTGTTCCTCCGATTGTTGATGATCTTCCAGCTGATTGTTAGAGGTCGCTGATCTCTTCGTCTCGATGCGTGACCCAAGAGATGATCGAAGTAGTGCTGCTGTGTCTTAGCGTGATGATGGACCAGATGATTTATTGACAGGATTCGTCGCGATGATTGACTGCTGTATGATGATGTTCCTGATGTCTCCAGCCAATACACACAACGGTTAAGCTAAATTCAACTTGCTGTAATAATAAATTGATACTTAACCGCTTGTGCTTTCTGGTGTGGTTGATTCACCCGGCGCTACTGTTTGCTGATCTTTTGTCAACTCAGCATTGTGGATCAATGTGTGATGCAGTCCATTGCACGATCTGCATCTGTGATGTGACTTACATTTGTGTGTTCGATGAGGTCCCAAACAGTTGAAGCACAGATCGTTGTCAAAGAGGCTCTGTTTCCTTTCATGGGGCCTCAAGCCCCAGAACGTGGAACATTCGGCTCCCAACCAGTGAGGTCGTTTCACCTTGCACTCCGTGATGCTTGCCCCCGCATGTGACACCGATGATTTTTCCTTCTGTCTCTTGGAAGGAGAAGCCTGATGAACCCTGGCCGTTGACTTCGCCGTCAAATTTCCCTGAATTGAGTGTCCCCGATCCTCGTATCTTTCCACATTTTCCAGAGCCCTTGCCCTTGCTTCAAGGAATTCTATGAAGTCCTTAAGCACAGGTGGTTGTGTTGAGTCTCCCAGATGCACCTCCCAGTCTTCTCGGGTCTTTGGATCGATGACCCTCTTGATGAGGTGCGAGATGACGATGTCCCAGTGTTCCGTTGGGGCCCCGAGATTCTTCATGGCCGTTAATGCCTCCGTAATGATGTCGATGATGAGGAGAAGTCCCGACGGTGACTTCTCCTTGAGCTCATTCAGGTTGAGGACTCGATTTAGATGGGCTGCCATGATGAGTCTCGGATTCTCTTATCGAGCGACCAACTTGTCCCAAGCAGCCTTGTAATTTGATGCCTCTTCCCCGATGTTAGATACTAGATCTGCTGCTGGACCCTTGAGTGCCTTCATCAGTCTCATCATCTTCTCCATATCGTCCAGCGGTTTGTTGTGGAGGGGGGAGACTAAGGCATCGTGGAATTTCTTCCAGTCCGAATATTTCCCGTTGAAATGCGGTACATTTAGCCTTTCCAGGTTGGTGAACGCGGATTTTCCGCTGGATGAGTTGCCCTTGGGTTTTTCCGTGATGCTTTCCTTGATGCGGCCCAGATCCTTCATGGCTATCTTGTAGCTCTGAACGGCTTCTTCGAAGATGTCCTCTACAAAGTACGGGTGATCAATCACATCTTCCGTGGCTTCGTCCATCAGGTACTCGTGGTACTGCGAAAAATTGTTCCACTGCTGTTCGACGATCCGATAATGTGCCTGGATGTCCTCTTTTCCCAATTTCTCGATGTCTTCTTTGCTGATGTCCCCGATGATGCCCTGAAGACCCCTCAACCTGTTGTAGTGAGTTTTCACCTTCAACTCAAACTTTAATAGCCATGGACTGATGATTCTCTTGGGTGGTTCGACTTTTCCCGAAATTCCTGGAGTTTCTGTATCCTTGTTGTCAGTCGGTTTTCCATTGTCTTTCATTTCGGCCTTCTCCACCTGTTTAGCCCAGGTTTCGTCCTTCGTCTCTCCGGTCTCACTCATAATGATTTAGTGAATTAATTCAGAGGATAATTATCCATAAATTGTAATAATTACCGATGAATTTCCGATGTTGCGGTAATAACCGGCCGATGGGTTACCGACTGGTGATGATGATTGCCGATGGGTTACCGACTGACGATGATGATTGTCGATGGCTTACCGACCGCTGTTCCGATGATTGTCATTGAGTTACCGACGAGCGATGATGAGTGCCGATGAGTTACCACCTGACGTGGCGCTGAGTATCGTTGATGATGCTCTCACTAAGCTGTCCTTGCGCCTTGATGTGTGAACCCCGTAGCGAAAGGCTTCTATGGCGTGGTTCCCCACGTGTTGCACTGACGTTTTTTTTTCTAGAGTCCGTTGCACACACTTACTGCACTTTTCCGTACTAATTCACTCCCGATCCGGCTCGAAGGACCAATGTTCAAAATCTACTCGAGATTTGATGAGTTGGGTGGTCGGGAGGAGAGGTGATTTTAGGTTGGGTGCATAAATAATAAAAGAGGTGAATTCAGATGATCTGCCGTTTAATTCGCACAAAGATTTCACTTGAACCGTTAGTTTACAACAACAAATAAATAGATGTATTTCCCGAGTGGACTGTATTGACACAAAACAAATAGATGATATTACGATAACGTTCCGATAATTGTCCCGATAACTGTCACGGTAACTGCCCGAGGTAAGGTTCGATGCTGTACTGACGATTGCGACACCGACGACCGCCTCGTCCGTGTCCGATGATTGCCGATGACTATCGATAATTTCCGAGGAGGATGAATGACGAATTTGACTGTATTTTGGCCAGATTTTAAACAGTAGTTATTTCTTATTACCGCCACCCACTTTCCACCCGCCACCCCATTTTCACCCACCGCCTCTTTTTCATCTGTCATTTTCCACCCACCACCCACTTCCTGTGACCCTCGGACTCCAACTTTAAAGCCCTGCACCCCACGGGGCCCCCAACGCGCCGACGTCCTCTTCAAAAGGCATGCCGCCGAGGGGGAAAGAGGGGACGTGCACGTGCGCTTCGTGGAAAAAGAGGGGGGGGGGGGAATTGCCGAAAAAAAATCGCCAATCGTGGACACTTACTACTAGAGAACGAGAAGTTACAAAAGCGTGCTGAAATCGAAGAGACAAAGACACAGAGAAAGGAGAAAGCAAGCAAAAAAAATTGAAATCGAAGAGAAAACGAGACAAGGATTAAAAGCTGCTGAGGAGAAAAAGAAAATAGAAGAGAAGAAACGACTTTTAAAAGTACAAAAAATACTGGCAAAGGAAGAATTTTTGATAAAAAAAAGTAAGGAAGAGGTCCATTGTCGAGGAGGAATCACAGAACGATTCGGTGAAGTAATCAAAAACAGGAATCTTCATTTGAAGAGAATCTTGCAGATTTGGTTCCAGACCTCGCCGTCGAATGGAAAAATAAAATAATCAACAACTTCGAAATTTGATTTTTAATATTAAAAAAAAATTATTCCCTCAAAATAATGTTTTTCGTTGTTTGATCATGTTAAAGAATTCAATCATTATTTTTATGAGTTTCTCCGATAATTATTCATTTTTTCTACCGCGTGGCGTCTAGTGTAAATGTAGAAATTTTTTTTGTTAGATTTGTTAATAAAGACGGTCGTCTTTGAAGATGGTTATTATAAAATTGATAAGAATATAACATTTTTACCTGATTTGAATGCCGAAACGAGAATGAGGACATAAACAAAACGGGCATAGGGGAGTAATGTACGAACATGGGGACATGTGTCAAACGAGCATGATTAATAGAGTTGCTACTAATACAGTTGCTACATACCCTTCTAGGGACTTCTCCTTCCTTATTAATGGAGGGACACACTCACCATTTGGCAACTCTGGCGCTCGCACGCGCTGCCTACTCGGCCATGGAAAACAGCTTAGGACCGATTTGTTCATATTCCTTTTCCTCCAATGGTCCGTTTAGCCAACGACGCTTTGGCAACGGTCCGATGAAATGACACATGTAGCCCTCTGGTGAAACGGATGATTGGGCAAACGGACCGTTTGTAACCCGTTAGTGGGCGCGTGATCCGCCGTTTTTTAGACGCACAGTAGGAAAATCTCTCACGTTACGGGCGCACTAGATAGAGAGAGAGGCCCGTGTTCTGGTCTTCTCATTCCATTCCCCCCACTACTGACCAGCGTACCCAAAGCTGGAGCACGTCTCCCCACTGACGTTAGGTACGCAATAAGTGAATCTTTCACGACTCTCAATCCCTCCTGATAAGATATTTTTTATAAAATATATTGATCCATTCTGAAGGAGATTTCCTTGCACCAAGAGAAAGTGAGATAGTTATTTGAGGCCTACAAAAATGTTTCCTTTCAATATTTAGAATTGTAAAGTAAGTTTGTACATACCTTGGAACAATTTACAATCTTAAAATATGTTTATTCATACCTTGAAATTTTTTTGTTTGATAAAGTCTTATAGCAGTCCTATTCACGGGTTAAACGGGCCTTTAGAACTAAAAGTATATGAACAAATCAGCCCTTAGTCAGGTACGCGGGATAACTATAGTGTCCATATTGCAGCACATTCCCCTATCGATTAATCATGTCACTTCTACCCTTCCCTCGTCTAATTTTAGTTTTTAATCAATAAAAGACGATGACGTAAAGTAACGAAGTATTTTTTTTTCATTATATTTCTTTCCGACTACCATTACGCTTTCATATAGGCTCCCCTTCGTCTGCCTTGTCTCTCCCACTTCTCTCTTCTGATTTTTTATCTGCGTTACCATGGAGCGCTTTACTCTTAACTGTACCCCATTCGGGCTAAAACTGCACGGGAAACCATGGAAAACCCCAGTCGTACAGCCGACCGATTGCGCAGAGCACTAATGTGCTCTTCTGTCATACTGCCTAAAGGGGCATATTAGGCCACTACACCGTGCCTATCTTCCGAAATTTTTGGGCAAGGGTGTCCCTAAGCAATCACCCATCCAAGTACTAACCGCGCTAAACGCAACAAGCTCTCGGATGTCCGCCGGAGCAACACATAACTCACCCAACCATGACGTTCAGTTGGTAACGAAATATTAAAAAAAATCTTGATTAATGAATGATAAAATGTTGATTATTCAATTGAATATCAAAAATAAAATTGTTGAAGCAGTCTAAAAATAATACGTTCCAAAAGAATGACTTTTATTCCATTTTATTGACATACTAAAATCGTGCTCCATAAAATACTCCAAATCCTTATCATCAAAGAGTAATATTTAATATAATACATGATGCACTTGATAATATGTAGTGCATAGTGAGTACATTGTGACCGGCAATCGCTGAAAATCGACCTGAAATGGTGCTAATGTCCACGTGCAAATTAATAACCTCTATTTCGGTTCATTTTCATCATACCATGTAAAAGTGAAAAACAACACTTAAAAAACTCTCAAACTTATGATAATTCTGTGTGAGTTTTGGTTTCGTATAAAAATGATTGCCGATCAGTGAGTAGGCAATGTATAAAATCACAGGTGTGTTGTTGTAGTTATTTATCTTTATTCGCTGTCATGAAGTAGGTGAGCATGTCGATTGGTAATGGAAAGACGATAGTGGAATTCTTTTCAGCTGAAATTGTGTTGAGTGTCTGAAAGGAAAGAAATAATTATCATCCCACTTCAAAAAACTTATCGCGTTATTAAACTGAAATACTCGGAATCAGTCCGAATTACATTTACAGGTTTGGCTAGAATGAACAGCATTTTATTCAATCTCTAAGATTTAATTGAATAAAAATTTTGTTGTGTAATTTATTATTATATTTGTTCACACCCCTGCACGGAAAGTTCGCACTTTGCTCCCTGATAAACGGGAGAAACGTGAGTACTTTCTGCTCTAGGTTGGAAAGTACTGATTGCTTTCCGCCCAAGGGCGGGAATTCAGTACTTTCCTTCCTAAGGGGGTTAACCTAAGGGGGTAAGGTAAAGGAGTCATGCTTATGTGCGGAAGTACCACTGGTAAGCACGTGGGTAAGGGTTATTTATTTTATCTCCTGTGGTTAGAATCTATTGTTAGAAAGTATACAAATTTTTTGTATTCTTCCCGCCCGCAGGGGTGAAAAATCTGGTGATCAGTTATAATTTTATGGACTGCCTATGAAAGATTATCATTAGTTAAAAATTTTGAAGATCGAACAAAAATTATGAAATTATGAAATTAAATTCTTGAGGGTGTATGGAGCAGTTTTTTGGGAAATTACCTGGAGATAACGGAGTTGAAGAGCAGCCGGTGAGTCGCCAATAACTTCAGAGGCCTCTCTGAGGGCTCTACTTGCTTTTTGTTCACCCTCTGCTGCTATTACCTTTAAGGGGTAATTAAACTATTAATTTTTAGTCATTGATTCCTTTGAACTTCTCAAAAACATCTAAATATTCCATAATTTGCATCGGACTTATCTTCGGGAGGAAATAATGTCAAAAAACCTTTGTAGCTGAGTAAATTCTCTTCAAAAAGGGTCTTTGGACATTATCCCCTATAGCCACTCATTATTAAGGTGTATGAAATGAACTTTTTCATAAATTAGATCAGACCCTTTCGTTACTACTATAATTGGGTTCATGTTTAAAAAAGGACCATTAATCAAAACACCTTGGTAACTAAAACAACTTGAAGAACTTGAACTTCCAAAAACTTGGAAAAAACTTTTAAAAACTTCGAAAAAATAATGCAAAATATATGAAAATAGAACACTAAGAATGCTTCAATGAATATCCACAAACGAAAATAACAAAATAAAAAAAAACACTAAAAACAATATTAACAAGTCATTCGACTCAAATTCATAAGTATGAGGAAGTCAATAACACAACTATTCATATCCACAATACAACCAAATATAATAAATGATTAGTCATTCAAAGCACAAAATTCGAAGTAATCCCTGCCGAATACTTCAAAATAGTCACCCCCTCTCCAGAAAATACTATTTCCGTGAAATAACCGTGAAATATTGAATATTCTTTTCTCAAGGCCTCAAAACAAAATAGATAACAACACTCTAGAGACCCTCACACAAACACAGATTTTACTTATATTCTTACACAAGACAAGATAACCGGAAGGTTATGTTAGCGGAAATTCAATTCAAAAAAAGTTTAATTAATCAAAAGTTCACTTTACCAAAGTTGATTTAACCAGGTTTTTTTGACAAAGTTTTTTAAACGGCTTGGGGTCAGGTGCATCGGAATTGAATAATACGAAGGAGACTTCTAAATGTATCTGAAGGTCCTCAACGCAATATGTCTAGGATTTTTTGTTCCAATAGAATCGATTATATTGCCGATTGGACTGAATCACGGAAAATGAGTTTTCGAAATCAATATACTAACAAGTCATGGCTTACAATACGTATTGATCGTATGAATTCATTACTATCCCATTATTGGAGTCGACTATCGAAAATATATATTGATAGAAAATGAATTGAGAACGCAAAACGTGTTATATGCACGTTGATAAAGTTAGCGGAACAAAGTCAAAAAATGTTTTTTTTTTGTCAAAATTATGTGCTTCTTATGTGTTTTTTGGTGCTCGAACAAAAAAAATGGTGCTCCATCCCTTCGGGAATTAGGGGTAAGGGGTGGAAAATAAGGGATGGTCGGAAAAAAATTATGCCATAATTATGTGCTTTTTACGTGCCTTCGGTTACTGCGAGAGGACAGGCAGGATAGGGGCTGATTTAGGAAAAATAGCCCTTCTAGGGGAAAATTACTTTTAGGGGTTGAAAGCCAGGATTAATGGTAACAGCTATAAATAGTAGGCCATGATTATGTGCTTTTTACGTGCCTTCGGTTACTGCGAGAGGACAGGCAGGATAGGGGCTGATTTAGGAAAAATAGCCCTTCTAGGGGAAAATTACTTTTAGGGGTTGAAAGCCAGGATTAATGGTAACAGCTATAAATAGTAGGCCATGATTATGTGCTTTTTATGTGCTCCAAGAAAAAGGCATAGAAAAAGGGGTAAAGAGGCCCGCATGAGGAAAACCGCCTATCTAGGGGAAAATTCAATTAGGGGTGAGTAAAATAATATTGGTGATTAAAGCGTCATACTACGAACTTGAATTATGTGTTTTTTATGTGCTCCAAGATAATTGATTGAAATAATGGAGAAGATGGAGCCTATTAGAAAAATCGACTTCCCACGGTACAATTGAGGTCGCTAATGAGATATCCCTGGCGTTATCATTTTGTTTGGTTTCGATACATCATATCACGAAAAAAAATACGTGTTTGCGAATGTTGACGCCGAAAATATTCGTGCTGAATCCGGTAGCTGGAAAATACCCCCACGTCAAGCGGAAGTGCTCGATACGTACATAACGAGACCCAAATGGTTTCCAATGTAACTTTTTACACAAAAAACAATACTGATGGATTTGTGCCTGAATTTTCATCATAATGAAAGAATTAGGTATACTGGTGCACCGTCAACAACTTTGCCGCGATCGCCATTTCTTTATTTGGGACACCATTGAGTCCAAAAAAATATATGTTTTCGAAATCCGCCACTCGAATTATTCGTGCTCCTCATTTTGTAGGAGCAACGTCTTCAGGTCGACCTGATGAGATGGGAGCACTTCATCACATGGGACACTTTGTCCAAAAAAATTATGTGTCTACACATTGGACAAGGCTATTAAATTCATGCTTCACTCCCTTTCATCGTGGACAGATCAGGTACACTGGTGACCGTCAGTAACTTTGCTGCGGTCGCCATCTTTTTTTTGAGGCATCAATCAGTCCGAAAAAATATGTGTTTACGAAATCCGCCACTCGAATTATTCGTGCTCCTCATTTTGTAGGAGCAAGGTCTTCAGGTCGACCTGATGTCATTGGAGCACATCATCACATGGGACACTTTGACCCAAAAAATTATGTGCTACACATTGGACAAGGCTATTAAATTCGTGCTCCACTTCCTTCCATCGTCGACAGATCAGGTACACTGGTGACCGTCAGCCACTTTGCTGCGGTCGCCATCTTTTTTTTTGATGCATCAATCAGTCCGAAAAAATATGTGTTTACGAAATCCGCCACTCGAATTATTCGTGCTCCTCATTTTGTAGGAGCAAGGTCTTCAGGTCGACCTGATGTCATTGGAGCACATCATCATATGGGACACTTTGTCCCAAAAAATTATGTGCTACACATTGGACAAGGCTATTAAATTCAGCTATTAAATTCCTCCAACGCCTGTAGAATTCGTGCTCACCACCATCCATACAAAGGGAAAAAATACTTTTTCAATTGGTTTTGGAGGAAAGACACTCAACTGAAAACTACTGGATCATTCCTTATAGTATCGATGAACTTCAACCCATCCATATTTCTTATGTTATACTTAATCCCCTTTAACGTCATCAAATTTTAAAATCTTATAGAAGGTTGTTGAGTTTTTTTTGTTTTGTTTTGTTTTTTTTTTTTCAATTTTGGAGCAACGTTGGAATATATTTGATAATGTTATAAAATTTTGTTTTAGTATTCCATAAGGGATTGACCGTCGTAGCCCCAGAATTTGACAAAAATGGATGATGATGAGGAAAAGGACAACAGATATTTGTGATAGTTTCACATTCATTAACTAGATTATTGCATGAATCATTTTTCAGTGTTGATTCCAGTGTTTTAGGACCACAATCAGAGAGTGAAATAGTACATTTCGATACTAGGGCGTGGAGAACTCTCCTCCGGCTCATCCTGTAATTTCATATTCGCCAGAAAAAGTTCTTCACGCCCGTGTATCGAATAATATTTTTTGACATGACGTGCGTGGGCGGTGTTTCACGCAGTGAGTTTCAAAAATTGTATTCCTCTCCCCTCCCGCCCCCCGTAACGCTGATAGAGACATAGTAATTTGAGAGGAAATGAAGAAAGGGTTAAGTTGAATGACAAATTGTCGACCACTCGGAGTTCATTATTAACTGAATATTTTCAAAAATTGTTTATAACTATAGTCAGTTGAGTGTCCTCAACCAATTATTCAATCGTGCTTACCAATAATCCACGTACTTATTCTCAAGTGATCTTTACGTTTCAATATTGAGCCTAATACGGCCGTCTCTACTCCAGATGACATTCCGGATATTTCGAAGAGAAACACTGCTGAGTTTAAACAGCTTTTGAATAGCAACAAAGTCGTTGACGGTCACCAGTGTATCTGATCTATCCACGATGACAGGAACTGGGGCACGAATTAAATAGCCTTGCCCAACGTGTAGCACATTTTTTTTTTAGACAATGTGTCCCATGTGATGGAGTGTGGTCCAATCACATTAGGTCGATCTGAAGACCTTTCTCCTACAAGACGAGGAGCACGAATAATTTGAGTGGCGGATTTCGAAAACACATATTTTTTCGGACTCACTGATGCCTCAAAAAGAAAGATGGCGATCGCACCAAAGTTGCTGACTGTCACCAGTGTACCTGATGTGTCCACGATGGAAGGGAGTTGAGCACGAATTTAATCGCCTTGCCACATGTGTAGCACATAATTTTTTGGAGCAAAGTGGCCTATGTGATGATGTGCTCCAAGCACTTCAGGTCGACCTGAAGACCTTTCTCCTACAAAACGAGGAGCACGAATAATTAGAGTGGCGGATTATGAAAACACATATTTTTTCGGACTCATTGATGCTTCAAAAAAAAGATAGTGAAAGCAGCAAAGATGCTGACGGGCACTAGTATACCTGATCTGTTCACGATAGGAGGGAGTGGAGCACGAATGTAATAGCCTTGCCCAATGTGTAGCACATAATTGTTCGGGACGAAGGGTCCCATGAGATAATATGCTCCAATGACATCAGGTCGACCTGAAGACCTTACTCCTACAAAATGAGGAGCACGAATAATTCGCGTGGCGGATTTCGAAAACGAATATTTTTCCGGACTGATTGATGCCTCAAAAGAAAAAGATGGCGACCGCACCAAAGTTGCTGACGGTCACCAGTGTACCTGATCTATCCACTATGGGAGGAATTGGAGCACGAATTTAATCACCTTGCTCAATGTGTAGCACATAATTTTTTGAGACAACGTGTCCATGAGATGATGTGCTCCAATCACATCAGGTTGACCTGAAGACCTTGCTCCTACAAAATGCGGAGCACGAATAATTCGAGTGGCGGATTTCGAAATCACATTCTTTTTTGGACTCAATGGTGTCCCAAATAAAAAAAGAACGATCGCGGCAAAGTTTCTGACAGTTACCAGTATTTTACAAAAAAACTGCGCCAAGAAAAAGTTTTGTGGGGTCGTTTCTGGAAAGAAGAAACATTTTTTTCTGGAAACCAGAATTCCCATAGAA